ATATCGAACTTGCTGCTCCGCAAGGGAGCACTTCAGGACGCAATGAGCTTTGGCGTTCTAAGCATTCGCGTTTTGGTTTCAGTTTCCTTTAAAGTATTTTTGCCCTCAGCGGGTGCTACCCTGTGTATATGTGCGCAGCATTGTATATAATAAAGGAGTTCCTGCTTGGCTACAGGCTGCTGCGTACTTCTCGTCGGCCATTGCTTCAGCGCCGTGTCTTGTGTTCTATGTGCGGTAAATCCGCCGCACGATACTACAAAAATAGTATAATTCTCTTTAAGGCCCATCCGGCCTTCAGCAAGCAGCCACTGCAAGAAAGGTGGCTGCACTCCGTTCTTTAGTGACATTTTTCTATTGCTCCGACATAAGAATCGGAGAGCGTGCAAACTTATTTATTTATTTATTTATGACATACTGCAGGCCCAGGTAAGGGCCCAAGCAGGAGGGGCATGGGAAGTACAAATTATAATAACCAGAGGGAAACAACATTCTAAGTATGGAACGGGAAAAGAAACAATACAAAAGTTGGCATAAAAACTAAGCATATGCAAAGCAAATACAAGGCAAGAACAAAAAGGCATACACAAGGCATACACAAAGCATAAAAAACTTAACATCTTAACTGAGAAATAGCATCAATATTGGACAGCTGTTCACAAGGCAAGTTGTTCCAGTCTGATATTGTACGTGGAAAAAATGAATACTTAAATACGTTAGTTTTAGTGCTATAAGGCGTTAGGGATTCAGCGTGGCGATGCCTTGTCCGGCGTGCTTCGAGCGGAGTTATGAAAGGCTGCGGGTTAAGGGATAAACGGTTATTTTTCAGCAAGAACATAAATTTTAGTCTGAGAATTTTACGCCGTAGTTGTAATGTTGGAATGCTATTAGTTAGCATTAGGGTTGATGGGGAATCAGTTGAACGGCATTTGGAGAAAATGAATCTTATTGCTTTACGTTGTATCATTTCTAATGCGTCAGTGTTACGTTTGGTGTAAGGGTCCCACACAGTACATGCATATTCTAATTTGGGACGGATTAACGAGTAATAAGCTGTTAGACGAGTGTTGTGGGGAGCCTGTTTTAATTTATGCCTCAAAAAGCAGAGCTTACGGAAAGACGACTTGCAGATGTTAGAGATATGCGTATTCCAGGATAAATTGTTAGTAATAGTAACACCTAAGTACTTATATCGATTAACTTCAATTAGGGCTTTGGAAGCGATATTATATGGAAAGGATAACTTTTTAACCTTTTTGGTGATTTTCATATAGATAGACTTTTCTACATTTAATTCCATATTCCATTTTTCACACCAAGATACGATATTTTGAAGGTTAGAATTAAGTGCAGTTTGGTCGTCACTGCAAGTTATTTCATTGAACACCACACAATCATCGGCGAATAATCTGATTTGAACAGGCTCTGTAATTGTGTCAGTGATGTCATTAATGTAAATTAAAAATAACAAAGGTCCTAAAATGCTGCCCTGTGGGACTCCCGAAGTTACCGGAAGTTCACCCGAAAACTTATCATCGATAACAACAAATTGCTTACGGTTAGTCAGGTAGGCAGAAATCCAATTAATTAAATATGCTGGCAAGTTAATCATTTCGAGTTTTTTTATAAGGTTACAGTGCGAAACAAGGTCAAACGCTTTCCTAAAATCTAAAAAAACTACATCAATTTGCCCAGATTTGTCAAGGACAGACGCAAAATTATGAACGATAGAAGTCAGTTGGGTAACCGTAGAAAAGCCTTTACGAAAGCCATGCTGGTAGTTAGAGAGAATATTTCTATCAGAAAGGAATTTGTTAATCTCGTTTGCTATGATATGTTCAAGCAGCTTGCACGAAGAGGATGTTAGTGAAATCGGACGATAGTTAGTTAAAAGTGTTGCATCTCCTTTCTTAGGCACAGGTACGACACGTGCTTTCAACCAATCGCTAGGAAGAACTGCAGAAGATAACGATGCATGAAAAATGACAACTAGAAAATGGGACCACTTTTCTGCATATCTGCGCAGAAAAGCATTTGGTAAAGCATCCGGACCAGGTGATGACTTAGTTTTCAGATTGAGCAACATAGAAACTACCCCTGGTTGCGATACTATATCGGGTGGTATAATGTGAGGCATATGTTTTATTAACGGCAGATCATAAGAACGGGAAAAAACACTATGAAAAAATTTTTTGAAATGATCAGCAATGCTTTGCTTCTCGACGACTAGGGATCCCTCGTGTACAATTTGGTCAACTGACCTTGTTTTTTCTTTTAAGTACCTCCAAAACTTTTCCGGGGCATTTCGCATAAAACCTGGCAGCGTATGGTGGAAGTACCTTTCTTTTGCGTTTTTCACTATTTCATTTAATTTAGGTTGAATATTTAGAATAGTATCACGAGAAGCGCCTTGTCGTCTTAAGCGTTTAATCTTTCTTTTCAGTTGTAGCGCTTCTCGCGTCATCCAGGGATTTTTCTTTGCTATTTTCTTTGTTTTCTCAGGAATAAAATTATTAATACAGTACATGCATATGTTTATAAACTTTTTCCAAAGACTGATAACATCGTCACCATGAAAACTGTTGAGACTAAAATCAAGGAAGTCCAACACACTCTCGTCTCTGGCGCGCGAGAAATCTTTAACAGTCACCCTTTTACATGGATTGATGCTACAAGACTGTATTGGACAGGAAAAATACACCATGTGGTGATCAGATATACCTGGTTCAACCGATACAGAAAAATCACTGATTGTTTGACTGACAAAGACAAGATCAAGTACCGTAGCTGACGTACCATGAACACGTGTCGGTTGATTGACAACCTGCCTCAAGTTGTGGTACAACATGATATTACTTATATAATTAGAATTTGTATTTAAATCGGGACCAGGGTATTCATTCACCCAATCTATTTCAGGCAGGTTGAAATCTCCAACAAGAAAAATTTTGTCATGAGAAAATGAAGACATGTGTTCACAGAGGTCATGTAAGAACTGAGGGGATGAATTGGGAGGGCGGTACAAGCCAAACACCAACAATGAAATATTCCAGCATGTAACCTTTAAAGTAACGCATTCAATATTTTCTGGCTGACGTAAAAGCACGACTGGGATATCGTCTTTGACCAAAATAGTTACTCCTCCTCCTCTAGTATTCCTGTCACGACGAAAAGCCCGATAAGAAGGGGGGAAAACAACCGTATCGTCAATAGCTTATTGAGAGTGCGCACATTCACAAAAAATCTGAGTCTTGCGTCAGTGTTTCCTTTGTTGCTTTACATGATGAAGAGTAAAGCTATCTCGGTCCTCTATGACGGGTGTGCTATGGTTTATGTGGCCTGGGTTCTTGTTGATTGGGTCCCTTTTGCCTTGTTTTTCCTTCCCTTTTGCACTCTCTTGCTTTTTATTCTGTCCTTTATATAGCCTGAGTCTTTGAATAAAGCTTTAGTTGATAGTCTGCGCTTGTCTGTCCTTTTCTCTCCTGTAGTGTTTTCGTTCATTTTTCGCGCAGGTACATTATGGATCATTATCAAATCCTCCTACTTACCATTCTTCTGATCGTCAGCAAAGCAGGCGTAAAGCTCATTTTCTCGAACTCCCCATAAGCGTTGCCGCCTCTGCAAGAAAGTGAACACTGACAACCTCAAGGAGCATGCCTGCCTCAAGAAACACAGGACGAAATACGTGAAGTGCATTGGCAATGCAGTGTACAGCATTCTGTTGTCATGTGGCCTCACCGATAACGAACAGACCGTAGGCCGTTTGAACAAACGCCTGAGAAAACACACCAACAATCTCAGGAATTCACCAAGCAGCACCTTAGCAGCTCATAGTTCCTCGTGTAGCTGCGCCCGGCTCTTTTATACTTGCAATATGGTATCACGATATCATCACAGGATTGAGCCTGAAATCAATGAGGCTTTCCATATTAAAAAGAAAGGAAACATGTGCATCAGTGAGCCCTCACTCTCCCTCCTAGAAAAAGATATGTTTTTGAGCTGTACTTGGGACATTTGAATTCATGGCAGATTTATCTTGCTTTTCATCTTTATGTGCACGTGATGATTATAGTATTGTGTTTTTTTTCAGCTATGTATTTCCCAATCTAATAAACTTATACACAGTTGTTCATCAGCGTTTGTGTTGTGTGGTCATTTCTTCTTCATCCCATTTTTGCACTGTTTGCCGTCATTTTATGTGAAAGATGACTTTTAAGGTATTTTATTTCATCTTTACGCAAGTTGATGGACAGTTGGGGTATGCTTGTGCTGCCAACATTATTGATATGCTGTGACTCGATTATCAGGTGCATTTCTTCAATCCTCTGCTGGTACAAAACTGCGCATTCATCGAACATTGGCATCCACTTATGTTCTCGACATTGTGAAGCAAGATTATAAGGGGAGCCTCCGTTTAGCGATCTTTTGTGTTCCAATAATCTCTGGTTAATGCAGTGTCCTGTCTGTCGAGCATTAAAAAGACCTTATAAACACTTATTTGGCAATCAGTGAATTTGTTCATGTGTTTTATGAAACAAGTATTGGTACCATGGAAACTATGGTACCAATACTTGTTTCTGTAGATTACTAGGAAACGAACATCGTTGCACAGTTTGACCATACAAAAATTTCTCCAAAACTTACTTGCATTGCTTTAAAATAGATCTTGGATGGTGCAAAGCTACTTTGAAAGTCCTCTTTTACTGCTTCAAGGCAGCTCCAAGCAGCATTATTACTGCCCCCCTATGCTCCTCCAGAAGACTGACTCCCGCTTACGTCCCTGCATAAGTTCATAATGTTGACTGAGAGTTTTAAGTGCCGCTCCGCTCCAAGCAGCATCATTACTGCCCCGCTAAGCTGCTCCAGAACACTGACACCCGCTTCCGCCCCTGCATAGGTTCATAATGTTGACTGAGAGTTTTTGAGTGCCGCTCATTGGAGCCCAACTTCTTTTGAACTTCACTGTTGCTTTTGGAACTGCACATTTTTGCAATCTTGTGCAGTTGAGACACGGATACCTTATGGACGCCCTGAGACAGACATGTACGAAGAACCAGCCACTCGGCCACCACTTGCAAATGATGGACGGCGCCCTTTGGGTAAGTCTTTACATGCTTCATTAACGCTGTCATGAAACATTGTCTAGAAATTTGGGACATTATGTATTTGGAATCCATTTATTAATATGCTTTGACTTGTTTCAATTTCTGGGTTTTTTTAATCGCTACAAAAGCTAAATTTCAATTTCATAATTCACTTCTATTAACTCTATTACTTACACCATCTGAGCCAATTAAAAAATTGAGTCATTGACGAAATATGGCAAAGTAAAAATGGCAAACTGAGCTTGTTTGTTTAACAGATCTGAAGTTTAAGGTGCGAATATGACAAAGATGAGAATAAGGTACACACACACAGAGCAGCACTTCAAACAAAGATTTATTTTGAAATAGCACAGAACATATTTATACACCACAAGCGCCATTACCAGGCCTCAATGCGCAGTCACATTCAAGTAGCATAACTCTTTTTGCGTTAATAAATGGAGGCTACACTGACTCATAGATCACCTGATTCGATTATTTTCTTGGCCTGAATGATTTGTCGTACTGATTCATCAGGGTTTCGGGCAACTAGCACGCTTGCGCTAAAGTAAAGAACACAATGACAATCTTGGCAGTGTACCGCGAAGTGGCCTTTTCAGGCCATTTTTGACGTTGTTATTATGCTGTCTTAGCCTGTCATTCAAGCATTGCTCGGTCTGGCCTGCGTAAGGTCTACCACATGACAAAGGGATCTCGTACACCACGCCTATCTGACAGCTTCAAACTTCTTCTTATGGTTCACAATGTAGGCAGGAGCTCTCCTGAGAAAAACATTGGTCATCTTGCAGAGCCAGGAAACTTTCCAGGCTCTGTAAAGTTCGGGCATAAGCATCTGATGCCTTGAAAGTTCGGGCATAAGCATCTGATGAGCTCGCACCACGCACCCTAGCCGCGTTCGTGGAATGGCCAGCATGACTCTCCTTCTTTCTTTTTGGGGAAGTCTCTTGGTTCTGTTTCCACTTAGCTTTTCACTCTAGAGGTATGCGGGAGGTATCTTCACAATAACTGAAGATCGGACAGTGCCTGCTCAAGGTATATTTGGCTGAAGTGAGCCGGGCCGGGCAGGGGGCCATATTTAAGAACACCGGGCCGAACTTGCTGAGCCGAGCACGGCGTTTTCGGGCCGGGCTCGGGCCACAAAAATTCTCTAATCACTAGCAATGAATCACTAGCAACAGTGCTCTAATCACTAGAAATGGATCGTGAATGAAAACCACAGCATTGTAGAGGCATATGTGTGGCCAGCGTCCAAGCATAACTACATTCTGCTGCAACTGCTGCAAGCACAAATGTAGTTGCATTGATGCGATCATGGGCGATCACCAAAGTAAGCGCGCATTCAACACTCGCTGACTCAAAGCTATATTGCTGGCCGGAACGTTGTGGACAAAGCTTCCATATACGTAATCACAGATAGCAGCAACACAGTTTTGCAGCCTCGTACATGGTCTGCAAGTACAGATCAAAAACTAAACTACTGTTCTGTTGCGCACGAAACCGTGGTTGCTATGATTATGATCTCCGATAGCAAGTAAGTTTTTAAGGTACACAGCAAACATAGTAGAAGTCATTAAAGTAGACCTGTACGAATAGCGAACTTTTGGGTGTGAAGCGATTTTGAATACTGAAGTGGGAGTGTGAATCGAATAGAATATTTTTTTAATATTTGTCCAATTTTTTTTTATATTTAGCAGCAAAACTGCAAGGAAAAAAAATTCAGAGAAGATTCCTGAGCATATTTTTATGAGATATAGCTACATGAAAGTGCTTCTTTGCTCTAGGTTTACGAAGTGTTGGCAGGGTGGTATTTTATAGTTGTCTTGTCAAGAATGAGGCGACAGAGAGGTCGCATTGTATTAGAACAGGATTCAGAACAACCAAAGTGTTGCCAACGACACTTCACACATGAAAGGCAAAAATGCTATTTGCTCAGCCTCTCCTCCAGTTTCAGGTTCTGTGGAAGCCTAACTGATGTGGCAGAACAATACCCTTGATTTACCTTCAGTTAGGAGTTCCAAGTCTGCCTGGTAGACATCAACATACTAGAACATCTGAAATTCTTCAATGCTAAAAATTTTGTAGTACGATTTCATGGACTTTCTGCCTAAAGTTCAGGTTCAAAACAACAATAGTGGAGGCCCCACCTCTTTCAAATCTATCATTCCCGTATAGAAACCACCACTTTCTTGAGTCAATACATTTGCAACCATAGCAGAGCTTGAAAGTAGCTTTGCCGCAATATTGAAATGTGTTGAGGTAAAGTGTTCAAAAAATTTGAAGGGGCCACTTTTAATAAATTTTTTTTAAAAAGTTCGACTGTTGCGAAGCATGAGAAGCAGCTTTGCCGCAGTATGAGAATGTAATAAGGCGAAGCATAGTAAAAATTTCAAGGGGTCATTTTTAAAAGTGTGTTGACTGCATTTGTTTTTGGGAAGTTCGAATAGTAAAAATTATAGTGTGAATCAAATTGAAATAGCAAACACTATTTAAAAATATTTAAATATTTACAAATCTTTATGTTAAAGTCATTAAAACAGTACAAAGTGTTTCTGCTCTACTGTTGTTCGCTAATGCCTGTGGTAATGTTGAGCTTCAATATTTACTCTTCAGTTGGCCTTTGGCATGCTCATTTCAGGATGTCGGTGCCATGTTGTTCATTTTTTTTCTTCTTGTCTATGTCTAGTGTTGTGCTGTAACTATGTTCCAGATGAATTCCCACAGCTTTGCTCAACTTACCGTTTTGCTGCAAATCAGTAGTCTCGCCCTTTTTCAAGGCAAGTGAAACTGAGATACTGCTTGTCAAAGCTGCTTTTATCACATTCAACTACAGCAAATTTTTCACTCGGTGATGGATGTTACAAAAAAAGGGCAAGTTATGGAGAATCGAAATGTGATTATGCTGCAGGTTGTATGCCATATTAATGGTTTGAATGTAAACATTTTGAGAGAGATCTGACTGGGGACATCAGTAGTTTATACAGGGTTTGCACAGCCCTTTAAAATCCTGCAATATTCTTGTTATTGGCTATGTAAGTTGAAGAGCTCTTGAAACTTGTCGATTGTGTAATCCTTGTTAGCAACTAATATCAATTGGAAATGAGTCCAATTTCAACGCATCACTCAGTCAAGCTACGGTTTCTAAATCTCGCTAGTCTACTATCTCTGCACTGTCTCGAGCTAGGTCATTTCCGTGATGTGGAAGAGGTGCAGGTAATGCTACGATCCATCGAAACAGGTGCTATAATACCCACGCAGGCAGAATGTTGCGCTCCCGCATGGAATAGTACCTAATTTCCATTCTGTTCCCGCAATAACTGCAACTGGTACGTGCAAGACACGTTCCCAGCCACGACTGGGCAAAACATGAGATGCACGTCATGTCTTGCCTAAGTCTGCTAGTTGTCCAGGATGGTGTAGTGGCTAAGGTACTCGTCTGCTGACCCGCAGGTTGCGGGATCGAATCCCGGCTGCGGCGGCTGCATTTCCAATGGAGGCGGAAATGTTGTAGGCTCGTGTGCTCAGATTTGGGTGCACGTTAAAGAACCCCAGGTGGTCAAAATTTCCGGAGCCCTCCACTACGGCGTCTCTCATAATCATAAGGTGGTTTTGGAACGTTAAACCCTACATATCAATCAATTACTGGCAGAGCTCTCGTATACTATCTTCTAACGAGTCATCTGTGAAGCCATGAATTCCCAACCAATGGTGGGCTGCTTAACATTCCACTGTTGAAAGAACTGAAGTCATCAGTGTGCCAAGCCAGGCATAGATAAGCTTTACACATGGAAGAACAAAATAAGCAAGCTGTGGCACAGTAAGTAACTTTGAAAAGAAAAGAGCCTGAGCTCGAGCTACAGGGCATGCGAAAGAGGAAGACAAAGCTCCAGAAAACTTTGAATGGCTCGCTGAAGTCAGTGGATCGCTTTTTGAAAGATGCCGAAGCCAGAAATGTCTTGTCAAGGCCAATGATTTTTGTCAAACAGCTAAAGAAAAACAAAAGAGGCCGAGATAGCTGCTCTTGAAAAAAAAAATAGTATGAAAGTGCAGTTCCTTTTTTTAATTCATGTGCAAAAATAAATTACGTTAACACTCTTTGAATTTTTCTTATTGGCAGCCTTAAAATTCTTGAAAAGCCCTTGAACTTTCAGTCAAATATTGTGTGAAAACCCTGTTACTAGAAATTATGCCCCTTGTATACGTGCAATCCAAGCCCTAAAAAGGAGTAGCTGATGAAACGAACGCGCCGAGGCCGAGGCTGGGCCAACACAAACATTTATTCCCATAGCGTGGGTTAATGTAGCGTGCGAGAGGGATTACGGGGAAGGGAAGGAGAAGAAGCAGTGGTGATAAAGGCTGCTTCGGCTGGCGTGACGTCACGGATACATCATTCCGCTGCCCCCCTATGCCCCCCTATGGTGAGTAATGGTCTGGGGGTTCGGGTTGCCGACCCGAGCGACGCAACGCCGGAATTGAGGGGCTCCTGGCGATCCCGCTCCTTGTTGGCGCTCACCTCGGTGTTCCTCCTGCTAGGGCCCCTGGGCGCCGAATGGTTTCCCCCTCCGGACCATCGGCATTCACCAGGCGGGCTCTGTGTCGATGTGATGCTGGCTGGAGTCCACAGCTCGCCTCGCACGAAGTTCCTCACCCAGACTAGCTCCCTGGGCTGCCCCCCATCGAGGGGGAAACGGTAAACTGGTGAGGGCGGAATGGGCACTGCGTTGTCCAGCCTGGAGCGAAGATCGTAGCCCATTAGAAGTTGCGCTGGTGTCCGGCCCCCGGCCTGAGGCGTCCTGTTGTGCCTGTGCAAAATCCTAGCCAAGCGGGTTTTCAGTGACCCTTGTACATTCTTCTTCAATGAATACTTCACAGTACGAACAGCCCGCTCCGCGAGCCCATTGGACTGGGGGTGATACGGTGCTATTCGGAGATGTGCTGTATTAATCAGCTTCGTGAAGGTGTTAAATTCCCAACTTGTAAACTGTGGGCCATTATCG